GACCCTCTTTCAGTAAAGAAGTTTTTCCTAATGTCCAGTCTAAACCTCCCCTGGCATAACTTGAGGCCATTTCCTCTCGTCCTATCGCTTGTTACTTGGCAGAAGAGACCAACCCCCACCTCGCTACAACCTCCTTTCAGGTAGTTGTAGAGCGCGATGAGGTCTCCCCTCAGCCTCCTCTTCTCCAGGCTAAACAGCCCCAGTTCCCTCAGCCGCTCCTCATAAGACTTGTTCTCTAGACCCTTCACCAGCTTCGTTGCCCTTCTCCGGACACACTCCAGCACCTCAATGTCCTTCTTGTAGCGAGGGGCCCAAAACTGAACACAGTATTCGAGGTGCGGCCTCACCAGGGCCGAGTACAGGGGCACGATCACCTCCCTATGCTGGCCACACTATTTCTGATACAGAACCACAGCCCGATCACCTCCCTAGTCCTGCTGGCCACAGTATTTCTGATAGAGAATCACAGCCCGTCACCCTCTCCTGGTCTGAGTTCTCACTCCAGAGTGAACATTGGGAGCAGCAATTCCTGAAATAAGTGATCCAAGGATTGTGCATCTGTGTGTTTCCATGGAAATGCTTGATGAATAAGTTTTAAACACATGGCAGGATCCCTGTTCACCACTAAGGCTGAGGAACAGCCACATATTGTCAGCATCTTTGCCACAAAACACTTTGACTAATTATATTTTTACTTGATATCAACCCAATTAGCTTATGCTGTTTATTTAATTTAATTTTCCTTTTGGTTATATAATGGCTGTCGTGGTTCCAGGAACAGAGGAGTGAATAGCAGCTATCTCACTTGAGAGCTATTTTTACTGTCTCCGCTTTTCTTCACGACAAAAATATATACATATTATTAATATGCACTGAAAAAAAAATGTACTTCTTCTGAATGCTTCCCCCTCTCCCAGTAAACATTATGTTTGTTTGAATACAACAGCCAGGTAGCAATACTGTGCCAATTTAGGCCAATTTAGAGTATTCTGTTCAAAGTATTTGTTTTCAGTGGGTCCCTTAGGCAAATGCATACAACACGTATGAGATTTCAGTGACTTGTTTCATTTTTCAGCAAATGACAGGGAGTTCTCCCAAGTAAGTCCCTGAATAGTTCACTTGCGTTTCATCACAGCAGTATGTACTGGCTATGGCTATATCAGTAAATTAAATGTGCCCAGGCCTATTCTTTAACATGGAGGCTAAATGGTACAGCAGACACTTGTATTATTGAACTCCCACTGTTTTCAAAGCAGGGCAGTCTCATACAATCTGCTTATTAGGAATAGTCTGTGTCCCATGCTAACACCTAAAATGTAGCCAGGAATTGTGT